TTTAATTAATAGTCTGAACGCACATAAGTGGAGTTAATACACGAACGAGGCAATTCCGTTTAAGTATTACTAATTTGCATAATCATAAGCCTGTATCGATAAAAACCTCCTCTAATTTGATCAAAAATAAAAATGGCGGAACGAAAAAATTCGAAACCCTGGTAATTTCATAGCTGGAATCTTCTGATTCGAGTTCCTTAGCTTCAAATGAATCCTGTGCGAAACTTCGTCGCTTATTTCCGACACGAGGTATCAAGGGAATTTCAAATAGGAATATTTCGAGTTTCTTAGCAGACACGTAGATATGAAATAAAAGTAGAAAAAGGAGAGAAATCTCGCGGTTTTCCCTCTCTGTAAATTGTAGAAATTAAGACAAACCTTGAATCGGTTACCGTATTCTTTATACGAGATAATTTTCAAAAGAAAATTGCTATTCGATCATTGTAGAAATAACTTATGGCTTAAAAAGCCGAACAAATCGAAGCTTATGTCTCTACTCGATCACACTCGACACATTACACGTTAGTTTCTCCATACTACACGATTTCTTTATTACTATTATTATTATACTTTGTGTCCGCACTTCTTGTTCCTTTTTTATTTCCCAGTAATTTCGACATTCAGCAAGAATATTACACCGCTATGCGTTAAAGAGTGTAAAAAATATTCGACATATTTTCTTCGAAATATTAACTTCCCTCGATAACCATATTCCAGTCGACTTAACGTATTAACACGTTGACTGTCATGATGGTCACCATCATCGATTTCTGTATCATAACGATCGATCATCGATTTACCGTGGATGCAGTAATCGCATCGGGGTTGCGTAAACTCAACGGTTTTTGAACCTTCGTATCGATAATAGGTTACAGAACACGCATTACCACTTGCGACGATTTAATTGGGAAACAAAAGAACTCGAAATTCGAACTAAAAAAGCTCGAACTCGGAGCGACTTTCAGCACGTGAAATTCAAGTACGATCGTGATGGCTTAACACGTTGACTGCCATGGTGGTCACCAGTGACCGGCGTTGGTTTCCTCAGTAGGGTTATGGTGGTCACGAGTGTCCATCGATAATAATTTTTTAAATTTATATTTGTTATATTCTAAAAATATTTGAAAATTAAACAATGTAAATAAATAAAGAATTTTAAATAGAAGAGATTAATAATTTTCATCTTTTTTTTCTTTGCCATATTGTTTAATAATTCATCATTATTTTCTAAGAATAATGGAAATTTTATCGCGGCCCCCTGAGCATACTATATAAAAAGTGCATGGCAGTCAAAGTGTCAACCCTGTGCCACGTCCAGTCGCCATTTAACAATATTCTAAAGATCATTGTTCATATATCAGTGTATTAAATTCGAAATAATTCAACGACGTCGTGGAATATCGAAGTAAAATAACATAGCTTGAAAAAATATCCATTTCATCGCAGAAAATCTTTGAATCGTCATCTTTCTGTAACGAAAAAGTCGTCGAGTGCAAGAGGTTAATAATCCAATGTCTCGAATGATCCGATGCGTTCGATTTGTTCCAGCTATTCAGATTTCTTCCAAGTATCCTGATATTTTCGAACCCCTTACTGACAATTCGGATCCTTGGTCCTATTCAACCAATTTTATTCAACCTTTTCCCCCAGAAGTTTCGTGCATCGCTGAAAGTTTTCAAACGCTGTTCTTTTTGCAAATTTCGATAAGCAAATATAAATATTGAACCTCTTATTTGTGATAAGATACAAGTGATATAAAAGCGTTGGTGAAATAATAAAGAAATCTGATTGGAAATACGGAATTTGTATAATATTAAACGTCGATTTTACCAAGGATACTTAAATATCGCATTGTTTTGTATTAGTTTATGTTAATATTTAATTGAGAAATTTTTAACAGTCGTTCTTCTACTTCTTCGAGTATTATCAAGCATTTATCAAATATTTACATTCGCGTTTGACGAGTTCCATACTCGTTATCAGATTTCTTTCTATAATTCCATCAATGCGTCGCCGACACCTGTGTTATATTACAGGTGTAGCAATTATTTTCGGACTTTCCAGCCCAACACGCGTGTTTTATTTGGCAGCAGTTTTCTCGCACGCAGGCGTTCAAATATTTCCGTAAGCAAATGTATATCCTCTCAACATTGACATTTCTTTTCGGAGCGTGTTTGGACAGGGATTCGAATTCACATCTGTTAGGTTTACACGGCTACTGGTTATAATTATTCGGAGGGCAGAAATTCTATACCTTACTCCTCCACGAGAACTGAGAAAGGATCTACCGCTGTCAATTCACGAGATTCTTTGCTGAAACTGTGAACGTTCCAACGTTCGCCATAGTAATCGAATCTGAAAGAATTTTTGATACAAAAATTCGGGACAAAGAAGAATTTCGAATAGGACGAATATACGGGTATAAAGATAGGTAGAAATAGAGATTATACCGCGTGTCGTGAAAATAGAATTTTTAAATTTTTCGTAGTTTTAGCGAAAAACAAAGGGGAAGACAAATGGAAGACATTTAGCAAATAATCAGCAAAATGGTGAATTATGGTCATTGTCCAACGACTTTCGAAGTTGTTCGGCTAATTACGAAAACTTGTTATTTTTCGAGATAAGGATCGATAGCATAGCGTTCTCACAGAATTTTGATCGGTCAATTAGTAAATGAAATCGTAGACATGGACGAGGCGTTGCTAATTACGAGAAACGAAACATGGGAATAAAACGATGAATCGATAAAGAGAACCCCTTATTCTATCGCGAGGAGTAGAGATAAACTGGAATAATTGTAGGCTTTGCTCGAGCAATTAATCGGTATTCCTGGAATAATTAAAATCGAAAGAAGGAAACGAAGAGGAAGGTTTGCATCAGTTGCAACGACGATGTACGCACATGTATGCTCTTACAAGTAGCTTCGAGAGATAAATTCACTTATCGCGTGATGACACTGAAAGGAGTGAAGGATTACCGCAAAGACGACGGTCATTAGTTTCGTGCTAATTTTGCATACTTGTAATAGATAACGCTGTTTATCTCGAATGCGACGTATTCGTATCTCGACACTGCACGTTTCGGAGTTCATTAAATATATGTGCAACAACTATCGCGAAAACATTTGAAAATTAGCTTGTTGCTGCGTAATCAATTAAGGGGAGAATTGACAAGTCGCAATTATGGCGAATCATTTATACGCGTCGATAAGACGCCCGATAATTCGTTCGAGTAGTTTTACGCAAAGTAGCTTTAGCGCGCCATTTTTGAATTCTAAGTAAACGTGTGATTCCTCTTTCCGTGTCCCTAATTTTGCAATGTTTCCTTTTTTATCTTTGAGAACGTGAAAAGATATAGAGGGTACATCGCTTCGCCTCGTGTTTTTCTTCTTTTATCAGACGAATGTTTTCGAAAGCGCGTTATCATCGAGATATCGAACAGACGTTCATCTTGTCAGCTGTTAGCTTCTTGATAAAACGAAGCAAAGTTTCGGGAGAGTGATACGTATCTCTGATTTTCATGCGAATTACTTCGAGGCCTCGTGGTTGTCGATAGACGAATTGTTCATCAGACACCGCGAATTTAACCCTTTGGTCTACAACCACGTGTGAGGCTCGTGGTCAGGTTTTCGAGCCAAAGCTGATTATCACGAGCCTGGCCCGTGGTACATCGGTCGGGTCGAAACTGACTATCACGAGTCTGGCACGTGGTACATCGGCCGGGCCAAGTGTTAACACCACGTGTCACGCCCGTGGTTTGCCGATGTGCCCCGCGTAAGTCGTGTGCAATTGGTACAACCTAAGACAGATTTGCCGAGTCGTGGAATGGCTTGTGGGCTCGGCACAGTTCTGTTTACGTTTTGGTCCCGCGCTGTGGAATCTTAAATAGTAGAGCAAGGGGTTAAATCATTTTTAGTCCTCCTCGATTATTCCCCATTTTCTCCGATTTTCCAACGTTAGTCGATGCTTCGTTCCAAGTATTCTAGACATTTTCGTCGCAGGAAAGAGAGGTATTTTTTCACTGGTAGTTTCGAGGACTCGCAGCAGACGCGCTAAGTAGCACGCAGATGAATTCGCGACACTCGATCAGCTCCGCAAACGACCATAAACGAAGGCGTAATTCAGGCCCGCCTAAAGTGGTCTTTAAGCTGATCAACGATATAGTAGAGGATCAGTAAAGTGGCCTTCGTCAGCTGAAGGATAAGATCATCGATTTCTTGCGCTGTCCCAGCCGATGGAAGGTTTAATGAACAACGATCACGATCCATCGAACGAATTTCGTTCATTCCGTCTCTTTATTTACACGAATTTACAGGCTCGCGACGAATTCGAGCGTGGCACCGTTTTCCGGATATATACCCGAGACCACGGTTTCGCTTTGCAGACACTCGCGTTGTGCTTTCCTCGCATTTAATCGGGGCAGGCTTACACGCTACGCGAAACCCCGCGAAAATTGCAATTTCTAGAGGGAACGGAACGAAACGATCGTACTTGGAATATCCTTCCTTCGGATTATCGTTTTCACGTCCGAGACGTCAAGCGTACATCGATATTCGTCTAATGGCGAAGATTCACGGCACAAATCTCATCCGGAGGGATCGAAGATCGATCGACATCCAAAGTCGAATATCCCAAACCTCCGAGTCGCTGCATCGTGTTTCATTTTGCGGAAATTCGACGGAAGATCCACGTAGTCCTTCCCGGTCTTATTCCTCGGGCAAACTTCTTCCGAGATCAGAGACACAGAGCAGGAACTCGCTCTCTAAACAGAGCTTCATCCTAGTCCTCTACGTTCCACGAATTCACGGTCTTCCTTGAATCGTAGTTACACCGGTCGGAGGAGCTTCTT